TATTTACATTCATAATCATGATCATTAATTGTATATTTCTCACTAGACTATTCTCTTAAACTTTCCCCCCTCTTTGCTTTCCGCCCATTTATTCATTGCAATTGATGCAGTCATCCTTTTTCCTTTCCTTTTAAATCCCTCTTCATTTGTTTACAGCTAATCTTTCCTTGGATCTCTCTCTCTTTTTCTCATTCCCCCTTTTTCAGTTTCCCTTTCCCCTCCTGTTTTCCTGTTGAGAGAACTGCATTTCTGCACCCACTTGTATAGATGTGTATTCTTTCCTCCTTTGATCAGTTAAGATGAAAGTGAGGTTCAAGAGTTACTCATTTCACACACACACACACACACACACACACACACACACACACACTCATTCTCTCTTGCTGTTTGTATAGTTTTCTACTTGACAACCCTGCTTATGTGAGATAATTTTCTCTCTCTCTTTTTTCCTGTAGTATATTCATTTTATTCCAAACATGCCTAATGAAAAGACCAAAGCGGCATAGAAACTTTGAAATGCAAACACAGGAATGTGCTTGGCACTAGTGGTTTAGGTTTAATGCAATATGCCTCTGAGCCCCTGTCCCTCTTCACTTTCTCTTACCCAGAGACCAGTTCCAGTTCTTTCTTCCTCCAATAAATAGATTTAACAATCACTTATAATTTATCCATTCTACTGCTCTCCTTAATCGAGCAACTTTTTAAAAAGAAAAACCTCATTACAAACACATAGTCAGTGCAGCAAACAAATTCTCACATTGGCCATATCCAAAAATGTATGTCTTTTTCTGAATTTTAGCTTCATCATCTTTCCGGCAGGAAGTGAGTGGCATTTTTCACCTCCTTTCCTTTATTCTACAGTCATAATACATAACAAAATGCTCTTAATCATTGTCTTCTTTAACTTCCCTCTATGGCCATTGATGATATTTAGATTTTGAGCAGACAATGGTATCATCTCTCATTTTGTAGAATAGCCCTTGTTTAGTCCTTTATGTCCTTTAGTCTTTTTATGTTCTCTTGACTCCTGTGTTGGCATTTCAAAGTTTTTATGCTGCTCTGGTCTTTTCATCAGGAATGTTTAGAAGTCCTCTACTTCATTTAAAAGTTTGTATGTCCCATTTTGCTTGGATAAGGTTTTGTACTTCTTGTGCTAAGCTGTTATTTTTTCCCCCAAGTCTTTCCTTCATAACACTCATTTCTTTTCCACTACTTTCCTCTAACGCTTTAGTTTCATTTATAAAATAATTTTAAAACTTTTTTAAAAAAAACTTTGCTTCACTTCTAGAAATTTTAGCTGAATTTGTGCCCAATCTGTGTCTATGTGGCTTCAATCAAAATTGTTTCAGAGACCTTCTCTTCTAGGTTTGTGTCTTGGGTTTCCCAGTCATCATAACAGCTCTTTATGTTGGATTTTCGTTGCTGTTTATTCATTTTTCTAAGCTTACTTCTCAAATTAAGACTGCGCATTAAGGCCAGGCTCTAGCCTACACACTTCTGGAAGGAATATCTGGGCCTTTTGGGGTACTGTTTTGTGTTCTCTTGGGCCTTCTTGCTGCTGTCTCTGGGTAATGAGTGATTGGTACGTCAAAGATCTGAGAAGCAGCTAACTCAGGTTGGGAAACTGTATGCCTTCAATGTATACACAAAGTGGTCTGATCCAGGCTGAAATCTGATTATTGTCCTCTTGGTCTGAGCTTTGCAAGCTCCTGACCCAGGTTTGGGTCTAAGCAACATAACTGTGGGCTTGCCCCTGGTTGGAGCTTTAGTAGATTACTGCTGGATCCAACCAATGTCTGGTAGGAGGAAGGATCCGCAGGTTCAGATTGATAGAACTACAGGCTTCCCCTTGGTCTGGGCTCCCTACCCTGGTTATTCTGCTGTAGGCTCTCAGACTGGAATGAGTCTGGATCTGAGACCTGGATCTACCCCCAAAGCCACACAGCTCTTTACTATGCTCCTACTCCTTGCACATAAAGAGTACGCCTTCACAAGAAGGCCCAGGCCAATCCTGTTGTCATTCTCTTCCAGGCTGCATGTTGATTCATCTCCACAGGACTTTATCATGCTACAGAAACCTCTTTACCCTAGAGTTCACTCCACTCCTGGACTGCTTCTCATGTTGGAAGTACCCTCTGGCTCTGAGGTCTCTCTCTCTCTCCCAGAAGCTCCATTTTAAGGATACTCAGGCTAACCATGTCTTCATTCCTCTCCAGACTGCACTGCTGACCTACCTCCACAGAGCTCTCTCTACCATGCCCTCATCAAGCACTTTAATCCCACCTCCCCATCATCTCCTTTTTATGTTGTCATCCTCCATTAGAATGTGAGCCCCTTGAGGACAAGCTGTCTTTCTGGTGGTATTTGTATTCCCAACTTTTAGCAATGTCTGGCAGATGGTAAGCCCATAGTAAATGTTTATTGGCTGACTGAAACAGCTTCAAGCCCTTGACCGCTACTTTCTCTGATGCAAAGGTCCCCCCTGCATGAGATTTGTGATCCATGTGTGGGGTCTGAATGACAGAACTGCCGGTGGGCACCTGTTCCTGCTCCCTGTACAGAGTCAGCCCCTCCATGCTGGATCCTGGGCCTCTTTTTGCCCTAATGGACAGCCCCAGCTGTTCAATCCCTACATCAGAAGTTTCTGGAAGGCAGCCCCCTGGTTAGACCCTATCCCCAGTGTCTGTAGATCTCTCTGTCTCCCTCTACTGACCTGGGCTAGAAAAATGACTCACTATGGTTTTTTCTTGAATTTTCTGATCAGGACTGGATCTGATACATTTCCTTGGCCTTCAGAGAATAGTTGTGGAAGAAAGCTGGGCTGCTCTGCTTCCTCCCATTCTACCATCTTGGCTGGTCACTCCTCAATTCAGCAGCTGTGATTTCCACCACTTCATGTGGTCTCATATGTGCCCAGAACTGAACAACTCCAGGGAGCGACAACCAGCTCAGGATACACGGCTCACTTGATTCTGAAACCACTACACAATGTATTTAAGAAACCTCATTTTTCTTCCTAAATAAAATGTTGTATCACAGCAAATCTATTTAAAATGTCATTGTTTAGTGGTATGGAAAATGTAAAGTAATAACCCATTACCCTCATAAGCACATTTTCCCAAGCACATTCATATCCATAGCCTCAATTTCTCCTCACAACAGGTGGGACAGGCATTATTAGCCTCATTTTAGATGAGAAAAATGAGATTCAGGAAAGTTGCAACTGGCACATCTTCTCAAAACCAATTGTGCACAAGGCACTTATCTCTCCAAATGCCAAAGCAGACCCTTCCCAAAATTACTTTGTATTTATTTTATATAGTTCTTGCATATATTTTTATGTGTGTATGTTGTTTTACCCAGTAGAATGCCCTCCTTGAGGGGCAGAGGCTGTTTAATTTTTTGCTTTGTATTTTTTATTTTGTATCCAGTGTCCAGCACATAAAAAGTACTTAATACATTTTGGCTCTCCCTCATGCACATCCCTCTTCACCTCTGCCCCCTGGCTTCTCTGGCTTCCTTCAAGTCCTAGACAAAGCCCACCTTCTACAAAGAGACTTTCCCAATCCCTCTGGTGCTTTCTCTCTGTTGATTATTTCCAATGTACTTGTACATAGCTTCTTTATACATAGGTGTTTGCATGCTATCTCCTTCCATTACACTGTGAGCTCCTTCACAGAAGGGACGATATGTCTTTTGCCTTTTTATCTCCATCCCTTAGCACAGTGTCTGTCACATAGTAGATGCTTAATAAATGTTTACTGACTGACTTTTACACAAACACATACCCCAAGCCTAGGACCCTGGAGGCACTACTAGAGAACGGTCTGTGGAGTCTACACCAGAACCCTGTGTCTCTGGGAACTTCACAAGGACCAGCTTTCAAGAAAAGGCAGACCTCCCTCTACATAAGGGTTCTGTTCTTAAAACCATCTGCTACACCAATTTTTTACAAATCAAATCATATTTTAAATGCACTAAGATGAATTTTCTATTTAAATTAGTCCTATGGTGAATCTATTTGCACAAAATTATTTTCCCTGCATTCTACTGACATCCTGGCCATTCTTCAAATTCAATTCACAGCCACCTTCTCCATGAAGCTTTCTCTAACATCCTCCCTCTTCTGAACCTTGAGCACTTTGTCACTCACTGATGGCCTTGTATCATAGTTATTTGGGTATATGGGTTGTTGCTCCTACTAAGCTCCTTGAGAACAAGGATCATGACTTACTTTTCACGTCTCCCATAGCAGCTAGTACAAGGCCTAGCTAATTGTAACTCAGTAAATGTTTGCTGAATGAATGATGCCATGAACTGAAAAGATATTTTGCCCTGTTATAAAACTTGGCTCTTTTATTTCCCTGAGGTCCCTTTCCTGTCCTCCTATAGCAACTGCTTTCAACCGTTTCCAGTCTTCTATATATCACGGAGACCCTCAGGGGAGAAAAGGGCCACAGCTTGGTGCTTCTGGTGTCAATGCCATGACAGAGGATAAATGCCCAAAAGACAAGGAGGAAAGGAGAAAAGGTAATGAGCCTGCAGTTTTCATTACTGGGATAGGGAAGAGTCATGCATGGCGCCAGTCTGTCCAAAGGAAATACTTAAGAATTGTTTTAATTGCACAGCTTTTATTCTTTATTTTATAAAGAAACATGAAATATTGGGAACTGGAACATGATTCCTGTTAAATCATAAGTTTTGGAAACTGTATCTTCAGCTGTCACTGAAATTGAGCATACTTCTGCCAGATTTTCTCTTACAAGACATTTGGTCCATCACATCCATGAATAAAAACAGATCAAGGACCTTGTGCACTCAGTATGCTGTAATCTGTATGATTAATCAGATTTTACCAAAGCCTCCTGTGGGAAATCACAGGGGCTGAGCAGCCTCGTGCACACATGCGCATACACTCACACACTCACATACACACAAACATACTTTACCATCTTAATTTTTAAAAGAAAGTATTTTACACATAATATACATATGAAAACTATACAAACTAAACAGTAAGTTTAATGGTGGTTCCTTATTGCCACTGAAAAGGAGAATAAAATTACAATTTCATCACCAACGGCAAGAAGTCAGGCCATTTACAATGCCTTACTGACTCTGCCAAAACTGCCATCTCAAGTCCCCAGATCCAGGCTTAAAAGAATCATTTTGGTGTCTCTAGCAGTAGACCTGGGGCAGTAAGATTAAACGGTGTGACTGGCCTGCTGTTGCCTGCTGTAGGGGAATCCTCTTCCATTTCCAAAGAAAAGCTGGTCCTGGAGACAGCATACCCGCTTGATTCAGTAGACATAACAACATCGCAGAATATTATGGATTAAATCTCTTAATAGTGCAAACACAGGAAAAATATTCCAACCTCATGACTTCATGGGGCAATGAGGTCAAACCTTCCTTCTACGGTCAGTAGCAAGACTTAAGAACTCCAGCTAACTGAAAACAGGTTTAGTCTACCTCTCAAATCCAATTTACAAGATACAAATGGAAAGTAGAGTCACTTCTCTGATATGATTTATGTCACCTATATGAGGGGAAAAATCAAAAAGCAAGAAAGCAAAGCTAAAACCAAGAAGACACTGCCCTATTGAAACTACAAATGTTTTTCACAGAAGGCTTAGGGACACAGTACTTTACAAATGTTAATTAACAGACAGCCCAGGAAGCAGGGCTTTAGATAAAGCAAGATCAGTCCATCTTTGCTGGGGGCAGGGAAAGTGTCCAATAACCAGATTCTTCCAAAATGGGCACTTTCTGATAGCAAAGTCCTCTACTTTTGGCTTCTGAATGCAACAACAACATTAGGAAAGTCTGCTAGAAATAACAAAGGTCACAGGAATTTGACTTTGGAAGGCAGGACCCTCTCCCAGGCTTGATCACATAAGCACTGTTGGGTTATACAGCAGGACAATGGAGTCAAATGGAAAATAGACAAGAATGGTATTTCAGGGCCCACAGAAAGCAGACTGGCTACATAAAAGTAAACAAGCAATATAAATGTTGAAATGAAAACTGAATTTTAAAGTTTAGTGTTCGTATCCAAAGCTTTCTCAGGAACATAAGAATCTACATATAGTTCATTGGTTTTTTTTTTTCCAATTAAGAAGTGTCCCCTTTAGGAAAAAGCACAACAGAACAAGGATAGGGAGGAGGGCTATCTACCAAAATTGAATCTGATATTGTTTTCTGCATTGAAAACACAGGGATAATGGCTATAGGGATAAGCAGGGTTGAGACATGAGTCACACAAGGAACATCGATTTTCAACCACAAAGCCAATAAAAAGTGATTCAAAAAGTCTTCAAAATTATCTTATAAAAATATCTACATTAAAATTTTAGCCCCAAAAGCTATAGCTTCAATTCTATAAAAAGGCAATCTTTGAAAAGGATCTGGCTCAGAAATGTACAAACATTACACAACAAATATTGAAGAAAGACACCTCAAAAAGCAATGTGGGAAGGGGGGGATATTGCAACTGGTCTGTCATGGACTTGTTAGGTGATCACATTGCATAGCAGAAAAGGAGGTCATGTTGCTTGGCTCAACACTGCAACTTCTTAGATAGAAGAGATACCACTGGTCACTAATGAGAAAGACCTTTAGAATTCAGAGCCCAATGTCCACTTCCCAATCAGCATCTGAGCCAGGTCTAAGCTGCTTACTCAGGATCTAGTGGTTTTCTTTGCAGTTTGGGTTTCAATTCCACTTCTTTGCCATCAAAAGGCTTGCAGTATCATGCTCTCCGGCAGTGCCACCCCATCCTAGAAGGGTTTTAGCCTTCACAGGCCTGTGTTAATTACCTGAGAGGCCTACTCTACTGGTGCATCAATGCTGAAATAAAAGCCTTATTCCCGATCCACATGTTTCCTACTGGGCTGATTCTCACCTGGCTGCAGTAACAAGCAGACCAGCTTCTGGGTGATGACATGCCAGTGTTCTAGACCCCACAGAAACACACATGGAGATGAAATGCACTGACCCCACAGATAAACAGGGGCAGTGCTCCCTGGCACAAGGGAATCCTAAGAAGCAGAATCAAAAGCAAAATCCAAAAAGCAGAAAACAGCAATGGTTCGCTTTAGCAAGCGGGCCTATTTATGGGTAGATGACCTAGAAATGGAATTCACCTTTTGTCTTAAGCCAGGACCTGGAATCTATAATGTAATGAAGTCCTAATGCCATCCTCCATCTCTCATGATATGAACACCCCATTAACCTATCTGTGGCAAAAGGATGGTACCCTAAGCAAGGGAGGGGAGCACCTATCACTAACAACCCCTTCCATCCCAACATCCTACGCTGAGATGTCAAGAGCACCAGTCTTATCCCCTGGAGTACCCAATCAGAAATACAAGTTGATCCCTCTTATTATATGGCCATTTGTCTCCCAAGCAGTATGGCCAGATATTTGAGGCTTTGCAGTGCAGTTGGCAGGAATTATGGGCAAAACATACATGCCCTAGGGAGGTGTTATTTCACTCCCAAGAAACATCTGCCCAGCATCAGGAGGTCTGATACTGGTAATGGGCAGGGAGCAATACATGAGCTCCTCTCTGAGGCTGTTGGCATACATAGTAAGTGCTTAATATTGACTGATTGACCTGTGGTCCCAGGCTTTTTAAAGACCTACAGACAGCACTTTCAGCAATATCTGGGTTGTTTTTTTTTTTTTAATTAACCATGGCTATACCAGATCTCTTGGGCCTATTGATCATGCCCTGAAGTGTCACTTGGCTCCAAAGTTTCTGCAGGAAAAGAAGCCAAATGCTGGCATCAGGTTGGCTTTATGTGTAGATGAAGTAGGCAGCTGCCTCTTTTGGTACGATATGAGGGATTCTGAAGCCCACACAAAAGCACTTTCCCAAATGATGCCTAAAATTCAACCATTACTGATTTATTCCTTTGGGGTTAAGCATTACCCTTTTTTAAAGTGCCAGTGCCTCAGGAAGGGTCAAACATGAAGACCCTAACACCTCTGCCTCCTTTATTTACAAAGAAGTTCAGGCAGCAACAGGAGCCTGAGTGAGGAGAGGGAAGGAGGCACAGAAATGTGGAAAGGGAAAGCAAGAGTTAAGACCAACTTGGCCGGTGTCACGATTTGCCAAGGGCTAGCCCTGACTGGCATACTGCGCCAAAGCTGCCCACCTTCTTCTGATTCCCCAGGGGAGATATCTATCCCCTTTTGTCTCTGAAGCCATGATGGACAAAGACTGGGTGCCTGTTGCTTTGGTTTCTTCCCATGTTCTTTCCAAAGAGTCATTTTAAAGAGCTGCTTTTCCTGATGGAAGAGACACGTGTACAATCCCCAGAACTGAGAACCCCCAGTAATTTCCAAAGGCTTCCAGGGAACCCAGGGTCAGAGTCCGTGTCCTGGGAGTTTTGGTGACAGACAAGCTGAGACTATGGGGAGCCCCTGTGGAATCCGGTCACTGGCACGGATTAGGGAAGCTTCCACGGCTGAGGTCCCCTGGGGTCCTGGCCTACAGCCATGTGTATACATGTGTACAGAGGCACTGTAAATCTAGTTCTGGATTTGGTCCCAGCTGGAGTCACAACCCACAGCTTGGAGACTGTCAAGGGCATCAGAACTCAACAGCAGGCTCCTCAGGGCACCCAGAAGTGAAACACACCTTCATGGATTTAGACGGTCGTGAAAACTGGCTCTGTAGCTGAGGTCACACCATTTTCTACAATCTTTTCATGGGCACCAGGAAACCGCCGAGAAGGCAAGAGGCCGATTCGTATAGTCAGGGGGGTGTGTGCGTGTGTGTGTGTGTGTGTGTGTGTGTGTGTGTGTGTGTGTTTTCTTTTCCCCCTATTTAAAATAAGTAACAAAAAACCAAGACATTGAGGCAGCATTGCTTTAGGGGTTTCCAGCATTGATTTAGGGGTTTCTTAGGCAGGGAAGACCCCCTCCTAGGGTGCCTTCGGTGCTCTGCTGAGGTGTGGCTTGTGAACACAATCATACTGACTAGCAAAGAAAGGGCATAATCCAGCTTCAAAAGCGCCACAGTTCTTCTACAGAATAAATTTACAGTAGGTAAGTAATGTACATATGCACAATCACTGGAACCCTGCCTGGTCCTCAATTCCTTCTGACTGGAGCCTCCCATTTCCCCAGTATTCCTCGGGAGACGATCGCCTGATTCTGCCTCTAAAGACAACTTCTTCAGTGTCACAGGGTCACTTCCAACTGAACCGAGGGAGTGAGGCCAGAGCAGGCATTTTCCATTCCTTGAGTTTGAGCATATTTGAAACATCAGTAGTAAAGAAATCCAGTAGACTTTCTACCCACCTACCTTGTTAAAGCATGGTGTTTTACACAGAAGAATTACAGTTTCTCCGGTGCCATTGTGGAAATATGAAAAACACAGTAGGCTCCTCTTTAGAGGCCACTTGTGGGGCAGGGGCAGGGGACAGTTCATTGCACAAAGTGGAAAGAAATGTACACAAAGTGAGGTGGAGGATGGGTTTGATGGGGGCGGTGGGACGGAGGGGAGAGGGTGTTCTCACACTGTGTCACTCCTCAGAGCCAAGCCGGAGCAGAGGCTAGACTCTCGCCATGACTTCTTGTCCCGTGGAATATGACATCATGACAAGTTGGAACAAATCCGTTCTTGCCCACAGTGTTCTGAAACCTAAGCAGCATTCCCTCCCGTCCTCCACCTCTCAGCAGGGTGAATTTTTGTCATAATGGCTTATGAATCACAGCAACACCTATTGTGGGAGTAAAAAAAACAGATAATCTTAACATTTCCTGTGTTAACGCACATAGACTCTATGAGTTATCATCTACTTCAGTGATCATGAGCCTCAAGCAAAGACCAATTTGACATTTCTTTTTCATAACCTGTGATAGTATACGAAATTTATGGTGGGAAACTCCCTTAACTTTGCAACTTATAATCTTATAGAATTGTAAGGGACACTGAATGGTTGTGACACTCAGGGTCATATAATCAATGTGTCAGAAGCAGGATTTGAACCCAGGCCTTTCCACCTCTGAGGAAGGTTCTTTATCCCACACAATACATAAGCCACACCAAACGCCAATAAGTGGAAAATAATCTTCCTTTTTTAAAGAGTTAAGTGACTTGCCCAAGGTCACACAGCTAATAAGTGCCTGAGGCCAGATTTGAACTCAGGTGCTCCTGTCTACAGGGCCACTGTGGAAAACATCTTTGGATGAGTGGACTCTGAATGCTCTCATCCCTTGAAACAATAAGCTACCTCTTCTGTCTTTTTTATTCTTTACTAAAAGACATGGCTTTTTTGAGAGAGAAGGACTGAGAAACTATTTGGAAATGAAAGTGATATAGAAACAAGAGGTAATTTTAAAATTTAAATGTGTCTTGGAAACTATAAATGCTATGCAAGTGTAAACTATTTCATCTTCTTCTTTGACAAAGATACAGGAGTGAGAGAAGCTCAGCTGACCTGCATAACTCCTCCCTGTGCTCATGTTTGTTGGCAGCAACGTCCACTTGTCGCTGACAGGGTTGTAGTACTCCACGGATGCCAGATTGCAGGAACCATCATCACCTCCCACCACGTACAGGAGTCCATTCACTGCACATACACCTGCACGTCAAACACAAGCCCCCAGGAGGCATTACAGGCAGAAGCCAATAACAGCTCACACACGCCTACATACATACTATTTTAAGGCCTGTAAATTGTTTTGCATAGAGTACCTCATGTGATCTTCACAACAACTCTGAGGCAAGTGCTATTATTACCCCCAGTACGCAGATGAGGAAACTGAGGTTCAGAGAAGGCACAGAGCTAGTGTCAGAGATGGGATTAGAACCTAGATCTTCCTAACTCCAAGTCCAGTGCTTTATCTGTTACACAATGTTGTTTCTCAAATTCCCAGTGATGGAGAAGTAAAAAAGGAAGGGGGATTTCTGTAGTCACAGAGATTTTTTTTTTAATGGTGATTTCCAGGAAACCACTAATGAGTCCCACTGCGGGTTCATAGTTGAGGCCACAGAGAGATTTTGCCTTCTAGAAAAGTCCCAAGGAATTTTAAAAGATAATTAATACTCCATCAAGTCTTGAAAAGGGCTACAAGACTGACACACTGAGCTAGAGGTTTTATTTATACAAGGTTAGGCTATGGGCATTCTAAATTTCATTCTCTATTATCTAACAGGATGAATACCTATGCTACTGTTGAGACAAAAAAAGAATCTTCAGGCAGCCTCTAGAGCAGTTTCAGCTATTATAATAGCCAAAGATTGGCTTGGTGGAATATCAACTTGGATTTAAATGCTAGTCTCTTGATAGGTTTCTTCAATTTCTTGCCTATGAGTTAAGAGAATGCCAGCTAGCATCATCAATCACTAGGCTAGAACAGTCCATTATTAAAGTGCGTTCTTGTCTACTATCACACAAACAAGCAATGTGTTTAGAAGACAGTAAAAGAGCACCAAATTCTTCTCTATTAGTTCGAATCTTCAAGTTCAAATCCCAGACCAATTACATCTAAAGATGACAAACATCAAACTATGATCACAAACCACTACCTACGTGAAATCATGGAAATGAAAAAGTTACCAAAAGACTAGAGATGAGTAAATCTGGTGTTAATTTATTAAAAATATGACTCTAGAATATATGTACTAAGTAAGCTTAACGTTGATCACAGGCAAAATTTTAGAACAGGATTATGACATAGTTTATAAGCACTTAGCAAAAGAAAACAGCCAGCATGAGGTCACTGAGAACAAATCAATTTTACAAAAACGTATTCAGTGCTCTACTATATAGAAAATGCTATGCTAGTTGAAGACATATGAGAAGACACCACCAACCCACTTCGTCATGAAGGTGGGAGGTCTACAAGTACTGAACACTGCACATGTTTTCAAACTTTTTCAATGTACTGATTGGCTGTATTGATTTTTTCCCCTCTTCTTTTTCTTTCTTTAAAAAAATACTATTTGTTGTATGGGATGACTCTCTGAGAGAGAAAGGGGGAGCGATCCTGGGAAAAACTATGATGGTATAGTAAAACAGAAGACATCAATGAAAACTTATTTTTAAAAATGCTATGCTAGTAAATGAAGATAAAGAGATAAAATAAGACATAGCTACTGTACTCAAGAAATTCACAAGCTAGGATTCATGCAAAACTAATCTAATTTCTTTTTGACAGAGTAACCAGACTGGCAGATAAGGGGAGAGCCACAATACAGGGCATAAGGATTTCAATAAGGCATCTACAAACTCTCCCACAATACCTTTATGAAGAAGTCCAGAGTTACAATAATAGAGGTAAGTGGACTTGAGCAGCTAGTTGGACAAGTATACTGAAGGAGTGTTAATTCATTGGTTAGTGTGAACAATACCAGAAGAGAACTGATGAATTAAATGAAATGGCAGTCCCCCGTGGCACACCCCAGGACTTGTGTATTGTTCTGTCCCATTCATTGGCTTTCGAAGACAAACACGGGTAATTTTCAGTTGACACAGAGTTGGAAGATATAACCAACACATTTGGAAGGTGAAAGGGATATAATGATTTGGGACCAAATGCATTTGCACAGCATTATCCACAAACAGGATCCATCTACATTCACAGGGCATTTCTCTTCTATCTGAACTTTGTCTAAGACATATTACATAACACCCCTGAGTATTCGGGGTGAGCAAACACTTCATCTTCGGAAATGCCTTGATGGACGGTGACACTCAGTGGATTGCTGAACAAAGCTACCTCCTTGGATGAATGAGCCATGGAATCTTACATGGTCTTAATAGCAGACCCTTTAATATGAGTGCAATAAATGGAACAAATCAAGGATATGTAGGACTAGAAAAGGGGGTCGCCCAGAATGAGAAATACAAGGATCAGAGATAATAAATGGACAGCCTGAGTGCTATAATTTACTTCTTTGAGGTTTTGTTTTGGTCTGAAAGCTTTGTCCAACAATACTGATTTGCAACTCATCTATCACTTATAGTCTTGGAGACCTGTCTGGGTCATTGAGAGAAGATCACACAATGTTTAGATGTCAGAGGTAGGTCCTGCATCCAGGTCTTCCTGACTCCAAATTCTATTGCCCTCTAAAGATCATACTGCCTCTCATTACACTGGCATCCATGAAATATAACAGTAATCAGAGGAAAATCTCTAGAACATCAAGTGAATCCTCCAAAGCAATGTGGAGGATGCTGAAAAAAAGGATTCCTAGGAAGTTGTGGACGAGTTACACAGGATAACAGCATAGGTGGACTGAGAGCTTATGAAGGGCAACACAGCACAGCGGACAGCCTATCGGACTTTGAGCTGAGAAGACCTAGGGTCAATTGCAGCCTCTGATGGGAAATCAGCAATTTGCCTAGAATATGGAGTATGCAAAGAGAAGTAATGTGACATGAAGTTGGAAAAGTAGCTTGGAGCTAACCTGTAGAGTCTGTGCCAGACCAAAAAATTTGCATTGAATCACAAAAGCAATGGAGAACCACTGCAGGGTTTTAAATCTAGTCAGGCTTGTGCCTTAGGAAGATTATTTTGGAAGTTGTGTGGAAGACGAATTGGAGAGGGACAGAGCACAGAAGCACAGAAACCAATTAGGAGGCTATTACAGTACGTTCAGTGGACACGTGATAAAGGCCTGGTCTAGGGCAGTGACTGTGAGTGGAGAGAAGGGAATGAGAGGCACAGCTGCCATCTTATACCCCTGACAGTGAGCCTTTCCACCTTCTTCTGCCTCACATCAAGTAAAAAAGATTATGAAGCTGCCATCTACCTCCAGAGAAAGAACTAACAGAGTCTGAATGTGAAGTGAAGCATACTTTTTTTTACTTCCTTTATTATTCTTGGGGGGTTTTTTGGGTCTGTGATTTCTTTTGCAACATGACTAATATGGAAATGTTTTGCATGATTGCACATGTATGATCTATATCAAATTGCTTGCCTTCGCAAGGAGTGGGGAGGGGAGGGAGACAGGGAGAGAATTTGAAACTCAATTTTTTTTAAAAAAAGAGTGTTAAAACTTCCTGATTACATGTAATTGAGAAAAAACAAAATTTTAAATAAAAGGATTATGAAGCAACTACAAGAAGCTCTGTCTAGCCTACCTAAGATGTCCCTCCCAACGTGGCCCATACTGTCAAAATAGTCTTACAGGCAAAAGCTATTGCCTAGGTCTAGAAGCTTAGAGGATATTTCCTAAGTCTGGGGCTGCTCAATGCACAACAGAAATCACAGACATAGTCACTGGGAATGAAGTGCTGGCTTTAGTCACTGGGGAATGGGGAGGGAGATTCCTAAGGAATCCTAGAGCTAGGATTTAAAGAAGCTCTCTCATCACCCCCCACACCCCCTTCCTGACTGTGAAGCAGCAATTGTTTTAACAAACATAGTCTCAACTCCAGACTTTGGTGGTCAGCACTGGATTTGAAGTCAAAGGAACTATGTTTAAATCCCTACTACTTCTTAAGTAATTGTTCGCACAAGAATATTCTTTTTTTTTTAACATACCCATTAAACATATTTTCACATTAGTGAAGTTGTAAGTAAAAATTAAAACCAATAGGAGGAACCATCAGAAAGATGAAACAAAACTCAACTGAAGGTAAAAATAAGTGAGAGCGGTTCGACTTCCATAGTTCTTTCTTTGGATGTGGACAGCCTTTTCCATCCCAAGGCCTCTGGAGATGTCTTAGATCCTCACAATGCTGAGAAGGGTTCAGTTTAACATTCTTAGTCATTGCACAACATGGCTGCTATTGTATACAAAGTCCTCTTGGTTCTGCTCACTCCACTCAGCATCAGACCACATAAGTCTTCCCAGGTTTTTCTGAAGTCAGCCTGTTCATCATTTCTTATAGCACAATAGTATTCCATTACATTCATATACCACAACTCGCTCAGCCATTCCCCAATGGATGGGCATCCTCTCAATTTCCAATTCTTTGCCACCACAAAAAGAGCTGCTATGAATATTTTTGTACATGTGGGTCCTTTTCCCATTTGTCTGATCTCTTTCGGATATAGCCCTAGAAGTGCTATTGCTGGATCAAAGGGTATGCACATTTTTGTAGCCCTTTGGGCATAGTTCCAAATTGTTCTCCAAAATGGTTGGATCATTTCACAACTCCATCAACAATGTATTAGCGTTCCAATTTTCGCACATCCTCTCCAACGTTTATCATTTTCCTGTTTTGTCATGTTGGCCAATGATAGGTATGATGTGGTACCTCAGAGTTGTTTTGATTTGCATTTCTCTACTCAGTAGTGATTTAGAGCATTTTTTCATATGACTATAGATGGCTTTAATTTCTTCATCTGAGAACTGCCTGTTCATATCCTTTGACCATTTATCAATTCACAAGTATATTCTTGGTACTAGAACATGGTCTTATAGAAGCTGGAATACCCGAATTCATATCCTAACTACCTGTGTAATATTGAACAAGTCATCTTCCTCCTCTATAAAATAAGAGGAGTAGATGAGGGGCTCCCTAAGGTCTCTTCTAGAGTTAATGATATCCATTAGCCTTTCTCCCTCCTTTGGAGGCAGCATTTCCTAAGGAAATAAACCCACTAACCCACAGGTGGGAATGGCAATTACCTGCATTTCGCCGACACATGTTCATATCTGCAACTTGCTTCCAAGTATTTGTGCCAGGATCATAAACCTCCACACTCTTTCTCACCAAGGGGCCATCATGTCCACCTGTGGCATACAGCTGTCCACTGAGTACTCCAACCCCTAAAAGAGAGTACATGGTCATTTGGCCCAAGGCCTTGCCAGTTTTTTCCACTTCTGAAACAGGAAGTGTCATGTCATTCATTTATCTCCATCTGATCTAAGCAGAAATAGCCAGGAATGATCATTCAAAGTATTGGACTGAAACTGAACGATTTCCTATTATTGCTATATACTGGAATATCATTATGCACACTTAGGATGGTCTGAAAAAGATAACTCCAATGTAATTTCTTCAACTTCAAGGAGCCATAATTTTCTTGGTATGGGTTTGTCACTCCATTGATAGCAGACAGTAACCCTTCTAAAGCTTGGCAGACAGTTTTGGGGAGCTATTGTGGCTAGAAAATTTTCACTCCATGGAAAACCTGCTGATGAACCTTTCTGACATTAGCTAGGCTAGTCTCTAATAATAGACAGAGAATATCCATGAAGCCCGTCCTCAAAGCCTTTCCAGCTTGGTAGGAGCCACTGACATGGCCTTCCATGGCACAGTGACAAACTAGATTGGGGCTTTAGCAGAGAAAAATGATGTAATACATAATAACACCTTGAATGCCATGAGCATAAAGAACAGCATGAGACCTGGATCAGTTTATTTCAACTAGCATTTACCGATCACATAATATGTGCTAGTCTGTGCACAGGGGACAAAAGCGAAACAGTCCCTGCCCTGAAATGGCATAGATTCTACTGGAATGTGGCTTTACCACTAATTAGTTATGAGTCACTTCATGCAGCTCTGTAAAATGAGAGCGCTGAACTTATCCTGTGACTTATGACTCCTAAAGTCCTATAATTCTATGGCCACATATAGCTTTACTACTGTCCAAACTGCACCTACCCTGAATGGCCACTAGAGGGAGAGCTAGCGCAAAAAATACTAGTGGCTTCTATCACGGTTAATGTACTTGGGTTTTACCAGGTAACACTTTCCCAGGGTGATTGAACAGTCAGAGGCAAATCCTATTGGAATGAGCATGTAAGTGCCCAAAGTCCACTGCCTTCTGAAGCCACGACACCGGGAACTGACTGCTACTGTCACTGTTGGTTTTGTTCTGTCATTACTGCTCAGACTTGTGATCTCTTGGATCTAAAATTATTTAGCATCCTGGGACTTCATAGGGATTTCCCACAGCTAGCACGCTAAGTGCCAGGGGCTTTCTATTTCCTGAACTAACACAGCACTTCCAATCATAGGAAAACAAAGTGCCTGTGACTGGGCCTCTCCTCAGTTTCTGGGAGTACTGGTCAATGAACTGGAATTTGAGGCCAGTCTCCTGATGGAGCTGTGCATTTCTGTGGAAAGGATTCTACTACATTGAATTCAGCCTCCTTTAAAAGACAAACTACACAGGAGGCAGCTAGGTGGCGCAGGGAAGAGTTCAAATCCAGCCTCAGACCAAACACTTGACACTTAGTGGCTGTGTGATATTGGACAAGTCATTTAAGCTCTGTCAATTTCAGTTCCCTCAAATGTAAAAAGAAGATAATACAGGGTTGTCACGAGGCTCAAATAATAACACACATAAAGTGCTTTGCAAACCTTAAATGGCTACACAAATGCTAATTATTTTTGGAGGAGACGACATATACATAAGTATGAAATGCAAAATGTATGCAAAACAAATTCAAAGTAAATGGGAGGTGGGGATTAGGTAGGGCACTAGAAGCTGGGAAAATTGAGAGGCTTCATGAGAGGATGATATCTAAGAAACATTTTTTTTTTTTTAGGCAGTGGGGGTTAAGTGACTTGCCCAGGGTTACACAGCTAGTAAGTGTTTTTGTGTCTGAGGCTGGATTTGAACTCAGGTTCTTCTGAATCCAGGGCCTGTGCTCTGTCCATTGCACCACCTAGCTGCCCCCTCTAAGAAACATTTTAAAGAAAACAAGTGATTCCCATTGGCAGAGGTGAGGTGCATTCCATAGATATGAGGAGCAGACAGTACAAAGATGCAGAGATGTAAGACAGAGTGTCATATGTGAGGAACAGCGAGAAGGCCTGTGGACTATAGAATACAGGAAGGGAACGATTATAACAAGAATGGAAAAGCAGGTTAGAGTCAGGGGGTAAAGGGCTTTCAAGGCCAAACAGAAGCTTACATTTTACCCTTGAGGCAACAGAGAGCCACTGGAGTTTGAGGAGCAGTGTGACATAGGCCTCTGCCTATACTGCCATTTTGGTGGTAATAAGGAGGACAGAAGGTGGAAGGGAGTGACTTAAAGAAGGGAGACCTGTTACAAGAGTCCAGCGGAGCAGTAAAATGAGGAAACTGAGGTTCTAAGAGATTAAGTGAATTGCATAATATTACCCAAATAAGTAGCAGAGCCAGAATTTGAAGCCATGTCCTCCAACAAGGGTCAAACCTGAATTTCTGTGCTGAAAATTTCAAATGAGCTTTCACACAGCTGACATTTCTATAGTATTTTAAGGTTTGTAAAGCATTTTCTTACAATACCTATTTCAAATTGGCGGTATAAATGTTGATGTTTAGTTTTCACCATAGTCACCTGTATGGATTCTTTCCCTGGACAACCCGATGAAAAGATTTACTCAAGGATTTGCCCCTTTGGAGCCTCGTAGAGTTCAACAGAACTCCTCCAAGTGACTCATTTACTAAGATACAAACTGAGGTAGTGGGAGAATCAGGCTCAGAATACAGAGGGCTGTCCAGCCAGGCATTGGGTTACTTCCCACAGAGACCAGGCTTTCTTCCAAAGTCCCTCCTGCAATAGACACAGGCTCCTCTCCATATCAAAGAAACCTCTCTGCTCCGCTAAGTTGTAACTGGACAACCAAATTCTTCAGACTTTCTCCAACACCTCAGAGTTACAACAGAGGTTATTCAGGTAACAAAATAAGTTGTTTGGGGTTTTCTTAAAGGAATTATCCCAAAGGCCTTTCCTTTTAATGGATGACAGGGGTTATTCCCACAAAGGGCCCACCTTCAAATCTCAAGAGGAATGCTAACTCTCTAAAAATAACATTCAGAGCACAAGGCCTTTTAATAACTTCTACTGGATTCATACAGGGCACCCCCCCCCTTTTCTGTCCAGATTTGTGATTTCATTGGGATGGGAAATTTGTTCCATCGAGGCAGATTAGTAACTAGTCTACAAGTAACAATCTCGAAGGGTTGCCTGCATGCCTTGAAGCCAGATCTTCCTGACTCTTGAAACACAGACTGTCTATGTGACCATGTTTCACAGAACCCAGAGTTTGCTCACGATCAGACTCCTGGGAAGAGTCTATCGAGCCCAGGCCACTAACCAGGACAGCCTTGTACATCCCTAAGAGTTTCAGTAACGAAGAGTCTGATTTCTCCCCTGTGAGTGGGAGGGCAGGAGGTGCCTTCTCCCACTCCTTTCCCACAGACTGACTCTGTGGCCAGCAGCCAATGGAAGCTGCCAGCTCAAGTATTCTTCTATCATCCTCTGAAAGACAGGTAGAAAACTAGTACAGTGCGGGCCAGTGTACCACACTCCCTGGAGATTCCTCGAAACACAAACATAACTCCTCTGCTTCCCATGACAAGCAATGGAGTGCAGTCCCATGAACAGCAGGTCCATTCACAAAGGGAGGCAGGCATACGCATTTACCTCTCAACAGCCTGACCTTCAACTTGACCTTTAATCATGCCAAATATTTGCCAGTGTTCAGTTCCTTCTTCTATAAAATATGTTAAATACAGAAGATCTGTAGTTTTATCCATACAAGTATTCTCTCCACTGGCACAGATTGCCACCCTTCCATGCCTTACTGTACAAGTTTCAGGAGTTGCTGTGGCCAAAAAAATTCATCTAGTTGCCAACCATCTCGCAGTCAGACTCCCTAAACTTAGCTCTCACCCTCAAATGAGAAGTGTATGGCCCGTTGCTGGGACAGTGCTCAAAGCATCCTTGTGGAGAAGGAGGTCAGAGAGATATCTACAAAACAGGGAGAGTAGACCGACCATGTCTACCTCACAGGGCTGTTGTGAGGATAAAATGCAGTAAGAGCATGCTTTCAACATTGTCACGTGTTGTTCAAGCATAAGGTTGTTATTATTGTTCTTGTTAATAGGGCTATGAAAGTTTAGCCTGGCTCGACCTCTTGGTGAATGAGTTCAACTCTCTGCTCTCCTTCACTCTCAATTCCTTTGTCCCCTTGTTCTACTGACACTCATGACTTGTCAAACCTTAACACAGCATGACTCTCACAACCTATCTCCTTTCCACATGCCGCTGAATGGATCCCATGGGGAGGGTGAGCTTGTAAGGTCTTGGTGTCCTGATGGCAATGCTGCCATCACCTTGGAAGAAGAAAAATTGGCAGAATAATCTGGTTGCCTTCAGTAATAGTTTAATTCTCAAAGACCTTGACATCAATGGTCTCACCCAACAGATACCTGCACCACTGCGGCGTGTGCTCATGTCTGCCACATATGTCCACTCATTGGTGGCTGGGTTGTATTGTTCCACAGTACTGAGGCACTGGCGGGAAGCCCCATCATAACCTCCAACAGCATATAACTTTCCTGGGGGGGAAAGAAAACATGGATGACAATAGCACCACAGAAGTAAATTCAATTCAACAAGCATTATTAAGCACCTACAATGTATAAGGCATTGTGCTTTCAGTAAGAAAACAATAACAGAATGAAAAAACAGTCCCTGCCTTCAGGGAATTTCATTCTATCAGAAGTCACTGAAGAAGGAAGAAAAGATTTTCCTACTGAAACCTCTGCCAAATATATTCCACTCACAACCAAGTCTTAATTTCCATCCTGCCATGCTATCTTTCTTTTAAATCACAGCTTAAGGTTCTCTTCCTTTAGGAAGCCCATCTGGGTTGATGCAATAATTTTTTCCAACCTGTCAGTGCAATCCCTGACCTACCTTTCCCCCTCAAAACACTTTTACTCTATTGTAGTTTGAAGTCTCTGTCAATTCCCCCTTAGCGTGCCTTGCCAAAACCTGCATACTGGGGATCGGGAGATATTCCCATTTCTGGGAGACAAGCCCACTATCTTGGCTCTTACTCGTTCAGTTAAATCAATGTACCTGTTCCAACAAATACATTCACCTGAATGAACAAAGCTGAGAGCTGAGCAGGGACAAATGGACTGACTGATCCAGATCTCAAATCTTTAGCAACTAAAACATACAAACTGCCTCACATCTCTCATCTACTGCCGGGACCATCTCAGATGGCAGTTCCAATAAATCTGTCAACTTATTCTCTGAAGTAAATAACTCTTTATTTGCCTTGGGCCCCCATGTATGCTCTAGGAGAAGAGAATAAGTACTTATATAGTATCACTATGTGCCAGGTACCATGCTAAGTGCTTTATAAATATTATTTTATTTGACTCTTGCAACAAACCTAAAATGTAGGTGCTGTTATTATCCCCATTTTACAGTTGAGGAAACTGAGGCAAGCAGAAGTTAAATGACTTGCCCAGGTTCATACAGCTAGTAACTTTCTCAGATCTTCCTGACTCCAAGCCAAGGACTCTATCCACTGCACCACTTAGCTGATCTCTGTACCTCATACACTTCCTTAAAGATGGATTATTTCTTTGGTGTTGATGTCCCTTCCACTAGTAAAGCTCTTGACTCCTTCGTGCCATAGCAGATCATATATGTGAGTTGCTGTGGTTGAAAAAATATCAATCCCTCAATGTCTTTCATGTCCTGAGGCTTTCTGGAGATGAGAGAAATGGATACACTACCATCTCTGGGTGGTTCAAATCTAAGTAAGCTTCAAAATCGACAGTGATTCAGTGATAAAGAGCACCAGATGAAGAGCCACAGGGCCTATTTTTAAAACCCCAGGTCTGCTCCTTACTACCCATGTGACTTTGGGCAAGTCACTTCATCTTGCAAGGTGCCTCGTTTCCTCATCTGCAGAATGACGGTCCTGGATCAGATGACCTCTATGCTCCTTTCTAACTCTAAATGTATGAGAGAGAGAGAGAGAGAAAACCTTCCCAGCCTGTCTTCTTACTTATGTGCCAGGTTTAAAGACACTATTTTCTTCCACATGCAGGAGATACATAGAGAGGTCTCCCTCAAACGGAATGTTTTAAATTACTAACATTAAAGCATCTCCTTGAACTTCACAGACCCCATCCCGACATCAGCTGAAAACATCTCCATGCTGTGACTGCAAAACTCTACTTGTGTCTGCTTAACCATAGTTTGCTATTTTTAACCCCTGGTCTATTGTTGGATATTCTTGGCTAAGGAACAACAGGGTAGGAGGAGGGTGGTAAATAGAATCTGGTTACCAAAAGAACACTTACATTGAGCGAAGAGAGGACAAGGAATACCATATTCCACTTGTTCCAAGATAATGAGTCTAAGAAATGACTGACCTCATTAGCAAAAACGTTTTCCTGGCACTGACCATTTCATTGCCAGCTGTGCCAGTTTCATTAAATCACTAATAAGAGAAATGCATATTTAAAGGAACTCTGAGGTTTCACTACTTTCTATCCAACAAACTGGCACAGATGATAAAAAAAAAGACAGAAACTATAAATGTTGAACAACCATGAGAAAACAGGCACATTAATACACTATTAATGGTGGTGTGAATTGTTTCAACCATTCTGGAAAACATAAGGCTTACAGAATATTAGATCTGGAGATGAAAGAAACCTCAGGGACCATGTTGTCTACCTTCCTCAGTTTCCTTAAGTGATTTGTCTAAGGTCACTTATGTAGCAAGTTGCTGAGATGGATCTACGCCACAAAAATGACTAAATCATTTGTTACTTTTGATTCAGTGATCCCACTACTAAGCACATACTCTAAGGAGGTCAAAGACAGAAAAAAATCCCATATATACCAAACTATTTATGACAGCACTTTCTGTGGTATCAAAAAATTAGAAATAAAATGGGTATCCATCAATTGGGGTATATGAACCTAAGATGATTGCAATGTTAAGAATCAATGTGAGGAATTCAGTTACCCAGGAAGAAGTGCGTAAACTGGTAGGCAGCAATGTAAGTAGAAAAGACATAATACTTATATGACCACATTAATGTAAAGAAAAAGAACACTAAAAGATATTAGAACTTGGATCAATGCGACAGCCAATCTTGACTCGATTGAGAGGAGTGATAATTAAATGTATCTCCCTCCTGTCAACAGAAAGCAGAACCCAGGTGAAGAGTGAGCCTCCTGATACCACACATGACCACTGTGTTGGTCTCAGTTCATAAGACCACAGAGTAGGAAGAGTCCTAATGAGCTATTTAGTGCAACCACCTCGTTTCTAGATGAAGAAAGTGAAGTCCAATTCATAAGTCATACTGCTCCCGACACCACTCCCTTCCAGGAAATGCTTCCTCTACGACTACGGAATAAGGTCTAGACTTTTCAGTGTCCCACTACTCTAAGATCCAGCCAAACTAGTCATCGTTCCCCAAACACTTCTCCATATTTTTCTGACTTTCTTCGGGCATATTTGCTCCATATGGAATGACTTCTTCCTGCTCCCCACTCTTCTTGGGGAGAGAGAATGTGTTCCATCAACTCTATCTCCTACAGACTTAGCATAGTACTCTGCACAGAGCAGGCATTTAATAAATATTTGTTGAATGCTGTATGAATATAAATGAATGAATGAACCTCCTTCTAAAACTTCTATCCATCATCTAAGGCCCAACTGAAATATGATAATAATAATAATAATAATAGCAATAATAGTTCACATTGTTATGGCACTTTAAGGCTTACAAAAACACTATCACAAAATAATTATATGATGTAATTAAAGTATTATCTATTATTTATTTTATAGATACAAAAAGTAAGGCCCAGGAAGGCTCAGTGATTTATCCAAGGTGACACAGCTAAGAATTATTAGGGTAGGATATGAACTCATGTTTTCAAGTCCTATGCAATTTCTTTCTTCCTTTCTTTTTGGAGGAAATCAGAGATAAGTGATTTGCCCGGGGCCACACAGCCATCTGAGGAAGCATTTGAACTCAGGTATTCCTGACTCCAGGGCCAGTGCTCTATCCACTGCACCACCTAGCGCCTGAAGTCCTATGCATTTTCTGCTTCTTCCTCTATGGAAACTTCTCTAATCTTCAAGGAAGTGTGTTGTCTCCTTCCTCTAATACTGTACGGCTTTTGCCTCTCTTTTTGGTTTTGCTTCTCTTGTGATATTCTACCTTTAGGAATGCATCTTATTCACTCTCCGTCCCAACACTTGATTTTAATAAGGACAGGGACTATCATACTCATCTCTCTCAGAGTCAGTAAGATTTGGAAGGTTATCCTCAAAGGGGGTCATCATGCAGGCTCTGGCCGAACAGTTTAGCATGTGATAGTGGAGTCAGAAATAGCTTGATTCAAATACTGATTCTGACACACACCTCCTCTGACCACAGACAAATAACTCAGTCTTTCTGAGCCTGTTTCCTCATCTGTACAATAGGAATGCACAATAGCACAAACCTTACATGGTTGTTGTGAGCGTCCAAAGAGAAGACAAACATGTGAAGCACTCTGAAAACTTTATAACGTTCCACAAATGCCAGTTATTGTTATTATTTTTCTTACCTAATGGGGCAGCCCCATCCCATTACTGGACAGCTCTGACTGTTAAGAAGGGATGTCTACTCTTTACTGAGCTAACCCCTGGTGTTCCTATAACTTTGGTCCCAGTTCTGCCTTCTGGAGTCACATCAATAAATTCACACCAATTATCATTTACTTGTGGGCACTAATGGTTTTAATGACACCAGAACATAACGGCTGAAATAAATAACTAAAGCATAAGTGGCAACCTAGTTCCTTAATTTATTAGCTATTCTGGACATGAGGCAGTTGTGGATTTAGTCCACAAGAGGTATACAGAAGCTTAAAGACCAAATAAATATGTGACTAGAGTTGAGCTTAACAAGAGATATGCTATGAAACCATGCCTTGGATGCAGTAATGATATAAATACAGTGTATTAGCGATGTCACTTATATTAATAGATAGTATATCTACTTATATATGGTTATAGTCACTTGAGAGAAAGCTTGTTTCTTAAAGAAATAGAGATTCTAGGGCATAGCACTCTGGAATGATGATTAAAATATTGATTCAGGCCAATTTACCATATGACCTGAAGCAAGTCACATGGCCTCTTTGGAGTCAGCTTTAACCACCTGTACCAGAAGAGAAGATATTCCTACCAGGAGGGACCCTAGAAGTGAATGGGATGACCATAAATTTAGATCTGGAAAAAATAGAAAGGTTCATTTAGTCCAACTTTATAATTTGACATATGGAGAAAGTGAATCCTGGAGATGTGTCTTGATCAAGACCACACAAAATGTAAACAGACTGAGGATATGAATGGATCAAAACTTTAATATTATCAATATTCAAAGTATTATTTGTGTGGGTGTGTGTGAGAGAGAGACAGAAATCTGGACCTGTGTTAACACAGGTGAGGGAACTCCCTCTGCCAGAACAGGTGAGCAGCTGTTCTGCATTGTTGGGACTTGTCTGAGGCACCAAGAGGTTAAGGTCACAGTTAGTGTGTTTCAAGTGTGCACTTGAACCCAGAGTCTTCCTGACTTGAAGACTGGCTCTTTATTCACTACCGTATTCTGCCTCTACTACTGTTTATTTTTTAAAAAATATAAACAAAGTTAACCAAATGATGATACCTGACCAATGAACTAAAATTGCAGTTTGCCTTCATCCTCTTCCTTTCACCAGGAAACCATACCATGCTATGTTGAACTTACTCTATGTGCCTTGCCTTATGTCTCAAATCAAATCTTAAATCCACTCAGTCTGTACAGGTGAGATATTAATATAACCTCAAAACCAGTAGCTTAGATAGAGGAGAAATAAACAGACTACCCCAAAACCAAATCACGAGCTCACTCGAGGCACTCACACGGTCAAAAGCAAAGAGATCTGCTCCCTGAGAGCCCATAGAAGAGAGAGGAAAGGTCCATGTTGGAAGGCCTCAGAATCCTTGCGCCAGCCGCAGAAACCAATCACTCCTCCCTCCCAGCCCAGCCATCCTTACTTACCTTCCACAACACCCACTCCCACACTGCTTCTCCTTGTGTTCATAGGTGCCACGAAGAACCACTCATTCGTTTTGTAGCTATAGGCTTCCACTGATGCAAGACCTGGAAACCAATAAATAGAAAAGACTTCTCTGTCACCTCATATTGACTCTGATACACCAGCCTTTATAAGCAGTGTGTCTCTATGTGTAGGAGTATAAGAGAAATAATGTGTGTGTGTGTGTGTGTGTAACTGACACACTCTGCATGCCTAAGATGTGTATATAGTTTTATTTGTATGGGTAAAAAAGAACCGCTTGTGAATGAGAGAGAATATGGTCCTACATGGGACAGAGTTTCTGTGCGAGTATATGTGATATGTATGAGAGAGAGGATATGTATATGAGAGATTATGTCTTACAACCCCTAAACCGGGGGTGGAGAAACTGCTGCCTGAATCAGATTCAGTCAAAGAGCTGCACTTGAAGACCTAGAGGACCACATGTGGCCTTGAGGCCTCAGGTTCCCCACTCCTGCCCTAAACCTTTTCCTTACACTCATCATGACCTCTACTCTCTCCATACTTTCCCAGGTGATGACTTCTGCACTGGATACAGTCTCTTCTGTTCTTAATTTCAACCTCGTGGTGAACCAGTTCAACTCTACAGTGTCTTTTAGTCTCAATTCTCTTGCCCCCTTTGTTACAGAGATATTCATGACTTGCCAAAACTCAGCCTTGAATTACTATCATCAGCCCCCTCTCTCTACATGCTTCTGAGTGGAGCTGGAAGAAGTCATAAAATCATGTGGACTAGGTCCATTACAAACTGATGTTCTCTCAGCTCAAATGGGCCCTCACTGCAGCAAGGCAATCCTATATCTCCCTAACTAACTGACTTCCTATCTCCCTCACTACAGCAGCTATTCCAAACCTTATCCTTCTCCCCTAAAGCCCCCCACTATACTCTCTACCCCCACCTTGACCTGCTTCTTCTCCCTTTTTCATCATCTTAAAACCCCTTGACATTATTCCCTATTCTCTTTTCCTTTCCCCCAGTCTATAATAATGAAATGGTCCTTCTCTTTGCCAAGGCCAGTCCATCTACATGCATCCTTAATCCCATCATCTTCTCCAGCAGATTCTCTGCACTATCATCCCTATTCTCTCTCTAATCATCAGTCTCTCTATCTATCCATCCTTCCTTCCAAGCTGCCTCCAAACATACTCATGCTTCCCCCATCCTTAAAAAACTTCTACAGCTTCCATTAACTATCATCGTACATCTCTCCTTCTCTTCTTGGCTAAATTCCTTAAGAAAGCTATCTATGCTCAGTTCCTCCTTCCCTATCATTTCTAAACTTCTGCCACATGATTTCTGATCCCATCATTCAACCAAAACTACTCCCTCCAAAGTTACCAGTGAGTTCTTCATTGACAACTCTAATGGCTTTTTCTCCATCCTGATACTTTCCTGAATTCTCTGTAGTGTCTGATACTGTTGATTATCTCCTAGATACTCTCTCCTCATTGGGTTGACACTGTTCTCTCCTGGTTCTACTCCTATCTGTACAACTGCTCCTTTTAGTCTCATCTGCATGTTCTTTATAGCTAGTTCATGTCCACAAACTATGGATGTTCCTCAAGGTTCTGTCCTGTTCCCTTTTCTCTTCTTCCGCTCTATTATCTTGCTTGGTGATCTCATCAAGTCCTATGTTTTCAATTGTCATCTCTATTCAGATGATTCCCAAATCTGTATTTTTAGGCATAGTCTCTGCATTACCAGCTGGAGTTTGTACTTCTGGAATTATTATTTACCCCCACCCCCACCCCAAACCCTCTTCCTAACATCCCTATTACTTTTGTGAGCACCATCCTCTCCATCACTTACATTTGCAACTTTGGTGTCATCCCTGACTCCTCGATCTCACTCGTTCCACATACCTCATCAATTACCAAATCTTTCCATTTGTACCTCCAAATCATCTTTCCTATACGTCCTTTTCTCTCTACTCATACAGCCACCACTCTACCTCAGGCCCTCATCACCTTGCAACAGGACAACTGCAAGAGCATCTGAATGGGTCTCCATGCCTCAAGTCTCTTTCCGTTCTAATCCAAAATGGATTTTCTGCTGCCAAAATGATTTTCCTAAAGCATAGATCTGACCACGTCACCACCTCCCCAGTAAGCTCCACTGGCTCCCATCACCTATCTCTAGCATGTAGCACTGTGTCTGCCACATAGTAAGTGATCAATAAATAACTACTGATTAACTGATTCATAACCCAGCCCTGTCCTCTCTTGCAGTCTTCTTACTCCCTTTCACTCACTCCTCAAAGACAAAGGCTTTTTTGTTCCTTTTTAGCATGGTGTTTGACACATAATAATCACTTAATAAAATGCATGTTGACTGACTGATTGAGCAAGAGAGAATTTATGTGTCTATGGGGACAAATTATGTCTGTGGTGAAAAAAAGAGAATATGTGTATGTAAGCACGTGTGTAAGACAGAGACTAGAAGATGAAGAGATACAGAAAGAATGGGGCAGAGAGAGAGTAAGCGCATGGGTGGATAAGTGGTTACACTAATGGGCAGTTGACAAGAACTTTGCCAGGGGAGGAGGATATGGATCTCATTACTGTGCTTAGGTAAACTCACAGATGTCTCCTAAACCAAAAGGGGAAGAGAAGAGTTCTAACAGCCCACCTGTACTCCCATCAAACCCCCCCACTGCATAGAGGAGGTCATTGAGCACAGCTGCGCCTAGTGTGCTCCGGCGCTCCTGCATGCTGGCAATGGACGTCCACTGGTCCTTCACACCATCATACACGTCAACAGTCCGGACACGAAGGGAGCCATTAAAGCCCCCCACAGCGTAAACACTTCCAGCCATGAACACCACCCCTGAGGACCAGGAAAATCAAAGGGTTCAAGTTAGCTCACGTAATAGCAAAGAGAACTAGTCAATTCTCAAATGTACAGTACAAATAACATTAATAAAGCACAGAGAGGCAACTGGCACCATGTCCAAAAATGGAGAGCTCGCCTTGGTATTAGGAAGAGCTAGGTTCAGGTTCATATTCTAGCTATGTGACCATGGACAAATCATTGAACCTTAGTGCCCCAGGCAACTCTGACACTTTGAACTTACAGATGGACTGACTATGTACATAAGTCTCTCCATATTGGGAGCTCCCTACAATGATGAAATCCTAGTTGGGGACCAAAGCAAAAGGAAAGCAGTGCTTGGTTTTGGGACAGATAGATATAAAGCTCAGATAAGACATCATGGCCACCCTCAAGGAGCTTATAGTGTAGTATGGGAGTAAGATAATAATACAGGTGGCTATAACACACAATATTTCATAAGCACATTAGAGAATTATGCAACAGAGTGTTATGGAAGGTCTGATTTTCCCAGAAAATCAGGGAAGGCTTCAGTGGAGCAAGTGATATTTAAGTTAAGCATTACAAGATGAATAGGATTTCAATAGGCAAAGAGGAGGACATTCCATGTAGAGTAAATAGTCCAGGCAAGGCATAGAAGCATAAGAAAAAGGGGTGAAAACTCTTCCCCCCCCCTCTTCCTACCTTCCTTTTTACTGTTGTGGGCACCACCATCCTCCCAGTCACCCAGGCTTGAAATCCAGGTGTCATCCTCAACTCTTCACTTTCATCTCCTATAGCCAATCAGTAGTCAAGTGCTGTCATTTCTACCTGAATATCATCTTTCATTTATGCTCCCTTGTCTCCTGCAAACATGCTGGTACAGACCCTCATCATCGCAAACTTGGACTACTGCAATAGTCAGCTGGTTGGTCTCCCTACCTCAAATCTGTCCCCACTCCAGTCCACTCATCCTAAAACACAGATCTGGCCGTATCACTCCCCTTTTCAAAAAAATCCAATGACTTCCCTATCATCCCCAGGATCAAATAAAATCTTCTGTTTGACTTTTCAAACTCTTCACAACATGCCCCCTTTCTACCTTTCCAGTCTCTTATACTTTATTACCCTCCACATACTCAGCAATCCAGTGACAGTGGCCTCCATGCTAATTAGAGAACAAGACACTCCATCTCCCAAGTCTGGGTGTTTTCATAGGATATCCCCTATGCCTAGAAGGCTCTCCCTTTTCAATTTCACCTCCTAACTTCCTTGGTTTACTTCAACTCCCAGTTAAATTCCCACCTTTTGCAAGAAGTGTTTTCAGTCTTCCTTAATCTAATGCCTTCCTTCTGAGATTACTCATAATTTATCATGTATCCACCTTATATGCACATAGTTCTTTGCATGTTATCTCACTTGTGAGACCATGAGCTCCCTGAGGATAGGGACTGTTTTTTCATCTCTTTGTATCCCTAGTACTTAGCACAGTGTCTGGCAAATAATAAAAGCTCAATAAATGTCTGTTGATGGTTTGATTGATTGAAAAAGGAAGAAGAGGAAATATGACACTAGCAAGGATAGTCCAAAACATCACATAATCTCCAATCACATCTATTGTTTATATGGCGGTGGGGTTTTTCTTTAAGAATTACCTTTTTAAACTATCTATAATCATACGAAAAAATGCTCTAAATCACTATTGATTAGAGACATGTAAATTTAAAAACTCTGAAGTACCACATCACACTTATCAGATTGGCTAACATTACAAAACAAGTAAATGATAAATGTTGAAGATGTGGGAAAATTGGAACACTAACGCATTGTTGGTGAGGTTGTGAACTGATCCAACCATTCTGAAGAGCAATCTGGAACTATGCCCAAAGGGCTATAAAACTGTGCATACCCTCTGATCCATCAACTGCATTGCTAGATTTGTATCTCAAAGAGATCATAAAAAAGAAGAAAGGACCCATGTGGACAAAAATATTTATAGCAGATCTTTTTGTGGTGGCCAAGAATTGGAAATTGAGGGGATGCCCATTGATTGAGGAATGGCTGAACAAGTTATGGTATACGAATGTAACGGAATACTATTGTTCCATAAGAAATGATGAATAAGGAGATTTCAGAAAAACCTGGAAAGACTTACATGAATCATGATGCCGAGTGAAGTGAACAGAACCAGAAGAACATTGTACATGGTAACAGCAACATTTTGCAAAGACCAATTTAGATAGACTTAGCTCTTTCAGCAATGCAGGCATCTAAGACAATCTCAAAAGACTCATGGTGGACAATGCTAAAAACATCCCGAGAAAGAACTATGGATTCACTAAAGTTGTCCTTTGATGTCTCATTATGATGTAGAGGTGAACCCTGGATTCAGAATTGAATACAGATCGAAGCATATTATTTTCTATTTTTGTTGTTGTTTTTGTTGTTTTTTTCTTTCTCATGGTTTTTCCTTTTTGTGCTTATTCTTCTTTCACAACATGACTAATGTGGAAATACGTTTAATATGATTATACGTATACAGCCTATACCAGATTTCATGTCATCTTGGGAGGGGAGAGGAAAGAGGGGGAAAAAATTTAGAACTTAAAATCTTATAAAAGTGAATGCTGAAAATTAAAAATAAATACATTTAATAAAGAAGAGTTACCTTTTTAGTTCTGTTTTATGAAGGTGAACACTAAAATGGATATCAAATTTTACTCAGGCTAATACCTTCAAGGATCTGTGATTGCTAGGACCAAAATACTTATCATGTTGTGACTAAGCTCATGTCAGGGGAAAGACACAATCTGTAACTAAACTCTTATTCAGAACCTTTGGTAGGCTTGGTATGTCCTTCCAAAGTTTGTACTCTGGTGGCATTTAAGCCTTTGACAATCCAGGGTTCACCTCTACATCACAGTGAGACATCAAAGGACAACTTCAGTGAAGACTAATATAATACACATTTTAATTTTTAAAACTTCCCTGATTAACTCTGATTAATACAATGACCATCAATGATTCCAGAGGATGATGTTGAACCAAGCTACTGACAGGAGAGCTGATGGACTCAGGCTATACATTTTTAGACACGGCCAGTCTGGGAATTTGCTTTTCTTGACTATGCATATCTGTTACACGGATTTTGTTTTTCCACTCCCTCCCCTCACAATGGTGGAGGCAGGGGGAAGTAGGAGGGAGGGAAAGTAAATGCTTGTAATTAAAAAAATAAAATTAATTTTAAAAAATCATTTCATTATTGTCCTTCATAATCTCATCATGGGCAGTTAGGTCATGCAGTGGATAGAGAGCTGGGCCTGGAGTCAGGAAGACATGAATTCAAATATAGCCTCTCACACTTTCTAGCTGTGTGACCCTGGGCAAGTCAGAGCTGGAGAAGGAAATAGCAAACCATTCCAGTCTCTTTGCTAAGAAAACCCCAAACGGGATCACAACGAGTCAGACACAACAGAACAAGAAGAAATGTCAACATGACACAAAATATAAACTCCTTGAGGTGTGGGAATTGTGGGAACTGAGTGAAGCACAATGCTTCCATCTTTTGACTCAATTCTGTATCTGCTCAGTTCTCTTTCATTCAGTTATGGGTCTAGTCCAATTTCTGTCTTGTGAGAAAACTTTATTCAGTCAAGGCAATTAGGAGAAAACTTTATTGCACTGTTTGAACCCAGCCCTGCGTGGCCGGGAAGCTGGACCATGTCTACCTGCTGCTTAGACACACTTAACTAATCACCTAGGTTATGCTGACCAGTAACTCAGTCAGATCTGAAGAAGGAAGCAAGGCATTTTCTCGCAACTATGTATCTCAGGTAACCTACGTTTCTTATCTGAAAACTGGCCCCATACTGGCCAATCAGTTACTGTTTCCACGTTCCTTTGATTAAATACAGACGCTTGGAGGGAATGAGACATCTCTTTTTCTGATTTCAGGGAACTGCACCTGCTCGCCCTGCCTGGTCCCAACTCTCAAGATCCCCCATTCCCCTCCCAACTTGGAAAGCCCCTAATCTTTCCTCCAAATAGAAAGCAGATTGCCAAATTTGGATCCTGTTCATTGTTTTCTTTTATTTAATTGGCCTTATTTGATTAATTGCTTATAATATACAAAAATCTGTCTCACTCTGTATGCAGGGTCTTTAGCCTGACTGGGGAGTCATTATTAGGCCTGTTTTGCTAATAAATCGCACAACTAGGATTGTGTTTCCTCAGTTATTATTAGTTATCTACCATGGAGGACAGAGATTGTGGCTTTTATCCTTATATCTTCAGCACCATGAACAGGAGTTAGCATACAGGAGGTGCCAAATAAATGCTCTCTGAATAGAATGGAAGACATGCCCAGTTCCTGAAGGCTAAGAGAGTGCAGCTCGGGTACTTCCCATCAATCTGGAAAAGATTCAAATATGGGCGCAGTGATGGACTCTACGTTATCCGAGGCCAAGCCAAATGGAGAGGTGTTTGTTAAGACAGTGGTTCTGGGGTCAAGAATTTTTCAGCTACAGTAACTTCACAGTCATGAAGGGGTTATAATCTACCCAGAATACATGCTTGGAATGTGGAAAAAAAATAATGAAAATAAACATATCGTTCCAGAGCACATAAGATCACAGACTTAGAGTTAAATGGGATCTGTTCATGGCTGTGGTCTTTTTTAAAAATTTTGTCTTTGTACCCCCAGAAACCTGGCACACAGTAAGTGCTTAAGATGCTTGTTGACTCACTCATTGACTGATACAGTATGTGCTTAATCAATGCTGCTGATTAGTTTGGATCAATTTTAATTCAATCTTCTTATTTTACATATGAGAAAACTGAAGCCCAGAATGACTAAGTGCACTGCCAAAAGTCACACAGTTAGTAAGCAGCAGAACTCACATTCAGACGCAGAGCACAGGATCATAAGATGACAGACGTAGTGCCAGAAGGAATCTAGAAGTTGTCCACTCCAAAGGCCTCATTTTACAAATGAGGAAACGCGGCATCAGAAAAGCTCAGCAATTTATTCAAGGTCACAGAGTAGTGAGTAGCAGAGCCAAGACTGAAACCCAAGAACTCTGCTCTGGATCCAGTGCTCTCCCCTCCACACCAACCAGCCCTTCACCTTGCCCCCAAGCTATCAGGGGAGACAGCCCTCGATCACGCCTCTGAGAAACAAGGGAAATGAGGCTGAGAAGGATGTTTTTTAGGAGAAACAAGAGGCACAAGGCAATGGTTATGCCATACTACAGTTCCTATGAATCATTCATCTGACCTGCTCTGCATCTCCTTGAAGGAAGTTCTGCGATCTGATCCCATCTGTCTTCCTCAAAATCATAACATTCAACACTCCGGATAGCTTTGGGGCTTGGCCGCCCACCACAATCATAACCTGCAAAGAGAGAAAAAGGAAGCATTAAAACAGCATCCTACTATCTAGTTTGACTCCATCATTTACAGTTGGGAAGACTGAGGTTCAGAGACTGGAAATGATTTATCAAGATCACATCACCAGAGTTGGAAGAAACCAACCACTGCCTCTCCTCACTCCCTACATCCCATTCAAACACTTTTTTTTAAAACTATGCTAAATATTCTGAATGGGGGAAGTAAGGGCAATTGTATTCACAGCAGAGTCTCCATACTTAGACTAGTTGTGAACTAGTAGGTGGTTAATTTAAAAAAAAAAGTCTGGCTAAAAAAAAAAAAGGGAGCAGCAGATCCAGGAGTTAAGGTCAGAAAACAGGGTCTGAGTTGGGTAGCTTTACTTTGACTAATGATGATTACTCCTAAGGCTTATTTTCAATTTTTTTTTAAATTAGCCATTTTAAACTGGCATTGTTCTACCCACCCCCACCCCCACTAAACTAAAAGTTATATAATAAAAAAATAATTTTATGTATACATACATATCTCTGTGTGTGTGTGTGTGTGTGTGTATGTGTGTGTATGAAGAAATAATATTTGTAAAGCACTTAATACAGTGCCTGGAACATAGTAGGTGCTATGTAAGTGCTTGTTTCTTTCTCCCTTATCTATTTATGTGTCACTCTCTTTCCAACAATCATATGAAGTAAGCAGTAGAGGTATCATCAATCCTATTTTACAGATGGGGAAACTAAAGCTTACGAAGGTGAAATAATTTGCTACTAAGTACCGGACCTGTTCCCAACTCCATTTGTAGCACACAGAGAAGAAAGCCATATGTTTACTCTAACCACATATATCCTCACTCCTTCCCCACCCACACTTCAGACTGGAGCACAGAGCTCAAAGAACATAGTATATTAGGACTGGAAGGGACCTTAAAATCCACCTTCTTCAGCTTTCTGGTGGGGAAGCTGAGGCACAGAGACATGAAACGGTGTACCCAAAGTCACAGAGGTAGAAATCAGCAGAGCTGACAGCTGAAGGTAGGTCTTCTTCCTGTAAGAACACTACACTTCACTGCTGTGGGGTCAGATATCATTCTTTTATCATCTATTTGATTTAATGATCGTAATTACAGACTTTTATATAGTGTTCTAAGATTTGCAAAGCAATTTACATATGTTTTCTCAGTGATGTACACAACTCTGTAAGGTAGGTCGACCTCTCTGTACAGGTGAGGAAAGGTCTCACAGATGATAAACATCAGAGGCAGAAATTAAACCCAGATCTTCCTGACCCATGTCCAGCACCATCCACTGTGCTATACTGCCTCCTTGTCATTAGTATGTCCTAGCTGCCTGTCTACCCCACACGAATTATCAATGTTCAAAAAAACAGAATACAGCAAAATATAAACTTAATGCTGAAAGCATACTGCACTTAATTCAAAACTTCTTTGATGATTCAAAAGGAACTTATAGATTTGCAGAACCTTAGGTTCGTCCTCTTAACAGTTAGATGGTTCCCTGCATAAAGCAGGGGACTTAGAATCTTCCAGGAAGACACAAGTTCAAATTTGGCCTCCTATATTCACCAACAATATGACCCTGGGCAAGTCATTTAACCTCTGTCTCAGTTGTCTCATATGTAAAATGGGAGTAATAAAAATACCTACCTCAGGGTTATGTTGAAGAAAAAATGAGATAATATTTATAATGTGCTTTACAAACCATTACTACTATTACAAGGCATTACTATTATTACTAACATTAACACTGTATCACTGTCCAGTAGATGTGAGGATGTGATGGCTAGTAGAGAGTTATAGAATGGTAGATAAATCAATGAATCAACAAATATTTACTAAGTACCTTCTCACTATTATGCCAGGCACCTGGGTGGTTCAAATGCAAAGAATGAAAAAATCTCTACTCTCAAGGAATTTTAACTGGAGCAGAATGAGGAGTCAAAGAAAACACTGAGGTTATAAACTTGAGAGACTAGAAGAATGGTGGTTACTTCAATGGCAACAGGGGAGTTTGAAATATGAGTGGTTTTAAGAGAAAGATAATGGGTTTTATTTTGGATATATTGACTTTGGGGTATCTCTGGAACATCCAGTTTAAGGTATCTAATAGGCCTTCATGATATAGAACTAAAGCTGTATGAACAGATCTGTGAGGCATCGGTATAGAGTTAATAACTAAACTCATTGGAGCTGATGAGGTGACCAAGGGAGGCAGTATAGAGAGAAGAGAAGAGCTCCCAGGACAGAGACTGACAAAAAAACCACAGTGAGGAGACACGATATGGATGATGAGACATCAGAGGATACTGAGAGGTAGCAGGAGAATAAAGAAAGGGCAGTGTCACAAAAACCCAGAGAGGAGAGAGGATACAGGAGGCAGTCAACAGTGCCAACTGCCGTGAAGAGGTCATCAAGAAGGATGAAGATTTGGTCAAGGATAAAGAGGTCAAGAAGGATGAAGGAAATAATGTCCATCAGATTTGGTAATTAAGAAATCATTGGCTTAAAGGGGTAACATAATCAAAAAGACCAAAGACTAGACATTTTCTCCATCCACATTTACTCTAAAAAAATTCCCCAAAGAGGAATTACAGCTAAATCCACAGAACTAGAAGTAAGAAATCCAACAAGGTAACTAACTAATCCTTAAAGGACTCACTTACAACCCTTTCCCCCCCATGCTCAGGCAGGGCACATACAAACTAACCCATGGGATTTCAGTTTGGAACCCACTCAAGTATTTCTCTCCTGCTTCCAGTGTATCCTGACAAGACATTTCTTCCATCACATTGCAATAAGCAACAGTCATGACTCTGCCCAGCCACATAAGGAGGACAGAAGGGATTAGAGCAAGAAATCGGGCCTCCTTCTGCCTGAGGTAGCCCGTAAGTAAAGAAACTACAAGGTTGCAGAGATTCTACCTAGAACCTACAGGCTGTGTGTCCCCGTCCCCCCCCCCCACAAAAAGTCGAAGATGCTGAATCAACTCAGCAAGAGATCTAAAGAACTGACAGAACTGGGGCATGGGAGCAGTCCTGGTACTAAAAGAAAGGAGACTGAATCCATGCGGAACCAGCTACTTAGGACAAGGGACCAAGGATGGTGAAAAGTATGTCAAGCGGGAAGACATCAAGACCAGGGATATATCCACCATCAAAGGAAGAGTCAGAAAGTGGAGTATATAAGAGGAAGTCTAAAAACTACCAAAAATTTAACAAATAATAATTCAATTAAAAACTTAGAGCATAGCCAGATTTCAATAGAGAAGATACTAAAATTAAAAGAGAGGACAGAATACGAAAAATTAAAAAGATCACATCTCTAAAGAAATACTGTAAGAAAAAAGAAACTGAGCCAACATCTGATGAACCATAACACCATGTTCCAAAATGGGTTTAAAAGCAAAATGAAAGTGTTACTAGAAGTTAGGAGGAAATAAATTTCAGAATTGCTAGTCTTCATAGGAAAAACAATTAGCTTAATGGAACCCTGATAGACATAACCCACATAAACAAAAATTCTTTAGTAGGTCCTCAATAATTTTTAAGAGTGAAAAGGAGTCTTGAGACCAAAAAGTCTAAGAACTACTGCTTTAAAGGAACTTATATGTTCCAAATAGTATAACATTTAAATTCAAAAGGAAAAATTAACTGAACTGTAAAAATAGTTACATGATAATAGTAGGAAAAAGTATAACAGAAATAGCAAAGAACAGCTATAAAACTGAACAAACTGCTGGAGAGCTAAAAAAAAAAAAACCTTTGGCACCTTCTGAATGGGACCACTAATGAATATTCACATTTCTCAAAAGCATTTTTTTCCCCTCAGAACCATACTTCTCAAAGCCATTTATAAAAACTGATTATATATTAGGGTATAGAATAATTGCAAATGTAAAAAGGGAAGAGATTTTAAACACACCCTTTATAGATAATAAGCCAATAAAAACAGTAATCAATTAAAATAATACAAACAAAAGACACAGACCTAAATGGAGACTTAATAACAGAATCCTTAGTAATGAGTAGATTAAAGAAAAAAAATCAAAGAAGAAAAACTAATAGCTATATGAAAGACAATGATAAAACAACATACCAAAATTTCTGGCATGTAGTCCTCGGAGTAAAAAGCATATCCCTAAAAATGTATATTAACAAATTATAGAAAAAGAAAGGAGTAATGAACTGAATATACATTTTAAAAATCATAAACCAAACAAACCCTAAAAGCACAAAACAGTAAATCTTGAAAATGAGAAGAAAAATAGATAAATTGAAAAAAGATTCTAGAACTGAAAAATAAAACTAAAACCAGGTCTTTTGAAAGGCCTAATAAAATTGGTAAATCTTTAAACAATCTGATTAAAAAAGAAAAGGGCATAAGAATCAGATCAACAAAATAAGAGTACGAGTGGAAAAAGAGGATGGTCAGAGAGGTACAGGACTGAGGCTTGGGATGGGAAGAATGTCAATAGGACAAGTTGGTGGAGATTTTAGAGTAGATAAGAGTGTGGAGCAAAATGGGTTAATTATAAGCTTGAAATCAGGAAGAGAGGAAAGGGAAGTAAAAGCAAAGATAATGGCCTGAAAAAAAAATACTGAAGAGTAGAAGGACTGAAAGCATTGATAAGAGTGAAGAATAGGTGGAAGGGTAAGGCAGAGGAAGTGATGGAATGACAAGAGGTTATGGAAAGATAAACAAAAGAGTTTTTGATTAAAGAATTGGAACACTTATGGTTAATGGTGCAATCTAGGGTGAAGGAATTGGTTCATAGATTTAAGGTGATCAAGGAATAGGGAGCTTAGGGAGTTTGAGGGAATATTACCATGGATGGTGAAGTTCCCAAAATAAGGGCAGGAGTTATAAAAGGAAAGGAAACTTGCAAGCCAGGTTGCTGAGTGACGGTGACAAAGAGGGAGTCTAGAAGTGGTAGTGGGAAGGCATTAGTACTCAACTCCCCAACCAGGATCAGTGTGCCAGGGATTGAACTGAAG